CATTCTTCTTCAGGTCATGCCCGAGTTTCTTCTCTTGAATCGTCAATTGATCTCTGATTGACTTGAAACTTGCGCCTATGCTTCACTTTATGTGCTAGGACCTGAAATGGGACAAAGGAACACAACCTAGCATAAAATAGGCCAAAGACGCAATAATTCAAGCTCAAACAATCAAGAAACAAAGGGGAAAACATGTGCAAATACCGAGTCATCAAATCCCCCCACACTTAACTGTTTGCTTGTCCCCAAGCAAACCTAACTCAAACCAATGCAACTCTCCAGACCTCTATAGCAACAAACAACCCAGATCTTAGGTAGAGGACTTCCTAGATCATTTAGCAACTTACGAGGTCAACCGACGCACAAGTCATCTCATAACTTCTTCGGCGAGTCGGCATCATGGCAAATAGTGAACAGAGGACAAATGGATTGTGGATGAAGAGATTCTCAAAAACAAAGGATCATGGACTCACATTTTTCAAGGTGCTCTATTTTCTTCTTGAAGATGGTTGGAACCCCTTTTTTTCTGTTTTGCTTGTTTTCTGTTATTTTTCTTTTCTTTTCAAGGGTCCCAACCTGCTCTTACCGGCCATGCCAGGAGCGGATGTCTCGAGCCTCGTGCGGGGGAAAGACATGTAAGGGGGCTGGAGGTAGTAGGTGGAAATTGGGAACGAATTCCCGTCTCCCCTTACACACTTTCGCCCTATTCGCACGGGAGACGTTATTTTGAAGCACATTTTCGAGCACCTGCTATTTTCAAAACATGATACAAGAGTCCATGACAGGTAGAAAATCCACAACATCACACAATTCAAGGGTCCTAAGATCACTAATTCACTCAATCAACCAACTTTATATGAAGAAGAAATGAGACTTCTTAAATGCATCAACATCCTCCATAGTGCTACACTACCTCCCTAGGTTGCATATTACTGTAAAGACTGTCAATTCAAAGCATACTGAGCAGGCACTTGCAAGGAAACACGTACTTGGAGCCCTCAAATTTAAAAATTTGGACAGTGGACTAGGCTCCAAGCACACAAACAGCCAAACATTCACCCGCATACATAATCGAACATCCCCCCACACTTAAGCACGACATTGTCCTCAATGGAGGAAAGATAAGGAGGGTTGAACGAAGTTACCAGATCAAGGGTGAATGATGATGTACGGGTCAGGCAGTGCAGTCCAGGAAGAGAGAGTAATCAGAACACAAACACCACACAAAATCTCACAAAGGTTGAGTTATTGACTCTAAAATCAAATAACAAAACTGACTCAACCGAGGAGAAATAGAGAAAGAAATGCAAACCGACTGGTTGGGTTGCCTCCCAACAAGCGCTTCTTTCACGTCGTGAGCCGGACGATGGCTCCTAAGTTTCGGTCCATGCTAGAACCTCCTTGAAGTTGAGGTTCTCGTCGATGAGGTGGAGTCTCAAGTCACGAGCATGTGGTGTGGCAGGTGATGAAGGCTCGTGCACTTGATGCAGATGAAGTCTCCACCCTAGAGACCTCTTCTTCTCTTCTCTCGTCTCATTGCCCCAAACCAGATATGAAAACATCGATTGGCCACCATCGCGTCCACCAAGAGGGACCGATGTCGATGTGGCCTTGGTCTGGCAAAGAGACACTGCAAATGGGTCCTTGCCAAGCAGTTCCTCAAAGTTTGGTGGGGATATTACTTGCAACTCATGGCCGGTGCATGCCTCTTCCACCTCAACTTCATCCTCAGCCTGGACGCCAATTGCTTTTTCAACCCCCCTTTCTTCTTCATGTGGTATCACCCCTGAGAAAAGATCAAGAACTCCTTCTGCTTCACTTTTGTCATCCTCCACAACTTCTTTCTGCACCCTTTCTTGCTCTTCTTCTTCCAGCACGAATTGGAGAGCAAGTCTCCATGCAAGGTTCTCGATAAGTTCAGCTTGCATCTCCTCACTCGAGCCCAGCATGTCAGAGCGGAAATGGTGAAAGTTATGATCTACCACCAAAGGATACACTTGATCATGATTATCATGGGAGCTTTCTGTGACAACTTCTGTATGCTCCTCAACATCCTCATGATTGCCTTTTTCTTCCTCCTCCTCTACTTGTATGGCAGCATAAAGGTTGTCTTGAGAAAACTGTGAACAAGCTTTCTCAATGACCTCTAGGTGCTTCTTTATGCTCCGGATGGTATCCTCTGTTTCACGGGGGAAGGAAAAGTCAGTTTGGGCAATGGCCTGGATATGAGGATCCATCTCGGGAAAAGATCTCTCAGGTACTCGAGCAATCTGCTCCACGAGAAGCCTCAATTCATAGTTTGGATCTGGCTGTGGAGTGTAGCATGGCTCTGCAGAATGGCCCGTGAAGGCCGCCATGGGTAACTCCAGATCCGATGGCCCTTCTTGTTGTGGGAGGAATTCTTCTTGGTAAGGAGATTGTTCTTGATATGCCCAGGGGTCTGGTTGTTCTCCGTAGTAAGGGGGTTGGTACTGGAACCCGAATCCATAGTCTTCTCCTCCTTGATTGCTGTAGGGAGTCTCGGGGTAATACCACCCAGATGGTGGTGGATACCCCCAATGATTGGAGAAGCCATGAGGATCCATGATTCAGATCTGCACCAACAAAAAAAAACAAAAACACCCAAGTGAAAAGCAAGGGTGGAAAAGAAAAGAAAAGAAAAACGCTAAAGTAACAAACTTCTGCCTTTCCTAATACTCTAGAAAGTCCCCGGCAACGGCGCCAAAAACTTGATGCTCTAAAACACAACACCTAACAATGGCCAAGTGTAACCAATGAAAGGGACTGCAGTATAGTGGCACAAGTAATAAATATCGAATCCACGGGTCTCTAGAGTTACTATTACTCAGCTTCAGTTCATTATCTAGCAAACTAGATTAAGGATTGATTAACTAAACTACTCTACTAACTAAACTAAGTAAAACTACTAATTACAGTTTGGGAACTCACTTAGGTATGATTCCCCCTAGCTCCTCAATTAGGTCCAAGTTGTAATTCATTTTGGTTGATTTACTGTTGATTAAACTGCGGAAGATCCGACAGTAGCTTGGAATCTCTTAAGCTGACCAAGCCCTCTCAGTCTAACTATCCGGCAGACGACTAGTCTTCACCGGGATAGAAAGCTGAAGCAATAAGCACAGAACTCCACTACTGGAATTGGATTCCAGTACAAAGCAGTAAACTGGCTAACTCTCGTATAGCCAATCTCCTACTACCGAATGATGAGACTCTAGCAACCTAATCAGATTCTATCTATCTCAGATTGCAGCAGAAATCAGGAAAAGTTGATCAGACTTCAATTGACTCAATAAACATGCATCATTCGATTATAATCAAACAACAAAGCATCCAAAACTTCATACAAGCAAGCTCCTAACTCATGGAACTAGGGTTCCTCAAAACCTAAGTGAAGGGAAGTTACTCCATAGAGAAGAGAGAGACTGCAGAAATCTGATCTAGATCTTCAATCTCCATCTCCAAGCTTGATTCCCGAGCTTCAATGGCGAAGAAATCCTCCAAAATAGCTCCAAGAATGTTCCCAAGTCGCTCTCTCTCTCTAGGGTTCGTCCCTTGGGTGTTTGGGATCCAAAACCCAGCTCTCCCTCTCCTTTGGCTCGAATTTGGGTTAAAAACAGCCATTCCCGACTCGCACGGCCAGGTTGCACGGCCGTGCACATCACCATTCTGGCCGTGCACCTCAAAACGCGGCGTATCAATTAGTTGAACCTCAGCCAACTCGCACGGCCAGAATTGTATGTTGCACGGCCGTGCGTGGCCACGCACAATCCCGTGCGTGCCCACGCACAATCCCGCACGGCCAAACTGGTCACTTGCACGGCCGTGCGTGGCCACGCTGGTCTGCCCGTGCAGCTTGCTCAGCCTCCGTTTAATGCTTCGTTTCTCCCTCGTCCGGACTCCGAATCAATCGCCGTTTGATCCCAGACGCTCGTAGTCTCGTCCTCTTTCATTTCATAACAAGCTTGCATGATTCTTTGTCCATAAAGTGAGGTAGAAATCCATTCTTCTTCAGGTCATGCCCGAGTTTCTTCTCTTGAATCGTCAATTGATCTCTGATTGACTTGAAACTTGCGCCTATGCTTCACTTTATGTGCTAGGACCTGAAATGGGACAAAGGAACACAACCTAGCATAAAATAGGCCAAAGACGCAATAATTCAAGCTCAAACAATCAAGAAACAAAGGGGAAAACATGTGCAAATACCGAGTCATCAGTAAGACCGTGAATAGAAGCTACAAACCGTGAACCCCAGGATGCAAAGCGGTGCATTTGACCCAGACTCTATGTTCATGGACGCTTTTCGATGTTCATGGACGTGAACTCAGGCCGTGAACTGGGCGCGATCTCAACTTAAAAGGCTAGCAGAAAGGGAGAAGAAGAGGGGAGACATAGAGTGAGAAACTTCTTCTTCAGATTTTAGAGTAAGAATGTGACGAACCAAAGAAGAGGAGAAGCTAGGGTTTCATCGCCAAGCAAGGATTTGGGAATTCCTCCCCCAAAGGAGGATCTATGCAACACAAGGAGCAAGGCTTTCATCTTAATGGTTTTCATTTCCATCTCTTGTGTTTTCCCTCCTCCTAGCATGGATTAGTACCTTCTTTCACTTGGGTGTTTGTGAACCCTAGCTATAATTATGTAAATGCTTCTATGAATTGAATGATTATGTTTGTGGTTGTGTTTAATGTGAAGTGGAGGTATTATTCATGAACAATCTTGTGTGCTTTGTTGACCTAACTTAGAGAGGAGACCTCCTTAGGTTAAGAGGCTCACTTCGAGATGGGTGTTCTTGGGATTTGATGCCTCATATGCTAGTTTAGAGAGGACACCTCCTTTACCCATAGAGGCTCAATTTGAGCTGGGTTTCCTTGGGCATTCAATGCCTCCTAAGCTAGTTTAGAGAGAACCCTGCTTAACCTAAGAGGCTCTATTGGAGATGGGTTTCCTTGGGCATTTCAAGCCTCCTATTCTAGGTTAATTAAGGGCAAACATCCTATTTTGTATTAGCACTTAGGGTTTGGTTGTGGGTGGTCGTCAGAACTTCAATTCGAGGGTGAAGTCTAACCATTCCTTAGTCAATAGGTTGAGCCGGTCGCATTAGTGTCTTGGATCATATCCCATTTCCTCAACCTAGAGATTAAGAGGGTAGCTCCGGCTACTTGTTAGACTTCCCTGCGGTTTATAACCCCCTAACCACATGCGGTCATTCGATTCTTCAGGTCATAATTGTTAGCTAGGGGGAGTAACACCGGGTGAAGCCTTCTCAATTAGTGTCTAATCCATTTGACCTTTGAAAAGTAATTTAGTTTTAAATATTTATCTTCACCAAAACCAGTTAGCTAGATAATGTTTCAAACCGTCAAAGTAGCGGTACATGGACCGGTCTGAGTCGATATTTAAACATACTTACCCTATATTGCACCCATCTAAGGTTTATACTTGGACCTTAGGTGGGATTTTATTGTGATAGTCAGGGTTGAGTCACCCTCTTTGCTTCCCTGCTTCAAATCATCACAAGAACAAACAGTAATAGTGGGGTTCGCCTTGCAAGGCTCTCCTCCACTTGCATTCATATCACCCAGTTCCACTTCCTTCACTTCCTCACTCCTAGGCTTAGGATCAATTCCAAGAGTAATTCTCTCATCACCATCCCTTGGAATCAAAGTTCCCTCATTTACATCAATTAAAGCCTTGGCAGTGGCAAGGAAAGGGCGTCCTAGTATGAGTGGCATCTCGGAATCCTCACTTATATCCAGGATCACAAAATTCGTCGGATAACAGAATTTTCCCACTCTTACTAGCATGTCCTTCACTATGCCTCTAGGACTAATGACAGAGCGATTGACCAATGTGACATGAAGCCTCGTGGTCTTTAGTTCACCTATATCTAGCCTCTTAAAAAGTTTATATGGCATCACATTTATGCTCGCTCCTAAGTCCGGCAAAGAATTTTCTATGTAATGAGAACTCTAACACCCCGACCTTTGAATTTTGTTTGGACCTTAATACGTGAATGGTTGGATTGACGGTTACAGACTAAGAGTTGCAACCGTGGATTAAGAATAATTATTATTATTGTTACATTTAAAAAACAAAAATGGGAGAGGGTCAAGCCCTCCCCACAAACCCTTTATTTCCTCCCATCACAAAACCCACTGACAGAAATTATCCCCCCCCCCCCCCCCGCGCGAAACCTTTTTTCCCAGCCGCCCTCCCAATATTCACAAACCCCAGAGAGGAAGAAGAAGAAGGAAAAAGAAGAAGAAAAGAAATAAGAGGAGTGTCGGTTTCTTTCCCACCGTCGCCTCCATTGTTCCCCGACCACAACCTCATCCCTCTCGTGTACCTAGGTAAGGACCATGAATCCTTTCACGATTTCGAACTCGGTTCATCGATAGTCTAATCTGAAACTCATATTTTTTATTAGTGATGACGTTTGAGGATTCGAACATCGATCAACGAGGAGATCAATGTCCTGGGTTATCCAATCTAGTCCTAGGCACGTCCTAGAAGTAAGGGAACTCGATCAATTTGGTGATTTTTTGTGAGGGAGCAATTCTGGGGTTTAGCAACAGACTTTACGGGCTTTTAGTGAGAGATTTTGGGTGGTCACTAAAGCAGCTGGGAATTTGCAAAAACGTATTTTTTGCTATTTTATATTGTTTTGAGCCTTTGTGGGTTTTGGTTTATAAGTTTAATAATTTTATAAATTGAGGGAGTTCTAGGAGATGGCTGTAATTTAATTTGGGGATTTTGGAAGATGAATTAACCTTTTTAGAAAATTTTAAGGGTGTTTAAGTTAGGTGAAAAATTTGTCAAAGACAAAAATAATTAGGAAAAATGGTCGGTTTTGAATGGATTATTTCTAGAAAAAATTTAAAGGGGGTTGAGGGACCTTTGGAACGAGGCTTGAGGACTGATTTTGAGGAGAGGATGTTCTAGTGATTCAAGAGAGAATTTTAAATCGAGAAAGGTCGACTAAGGAGATGGGCTTCTTATTAATAGGTTCACCAAGATAATTCGGCTAGGAGGAATTTCTTCGAGTAAGGAATCGAGGACTCATCTTTTCAAGGTGAGTGGAAAGGGGGTAAATTCTACATTTTACGTGTTCTTTCAAGTATTACAAGCTTTTAAGGTTTTTGATGAAGTGATTGTTGTTGTTTGATTATGCTTTTGATTGATGATATGTGCTTTGTTTGAGCTATGTTTGGGGTGAATATGTATGAGTTGGCAACCAGACTAACTAGTGAGGGATCCCAGTGTCAATCAAATATTTAAGTTGAAATTTGAGTTTAAAGAATAAATTTTAAAGAGTGGAAGTATAATCCACCAGTTTAACTTAAATTCTTAAGTAAGAAGTACTAGAGATTTCAAACTTAAGGGCGTAGACTGACCCCAACTCATTCACCATATCGTAGAGGATGAGATCATAACCAGCCAGTCCGTGACCAGCAAGCTAGAGGAGCTCAACACCTTCATTGCTGAGGGATGTCGAGCCAGGCGTCAGAGTAAGCATCGAAGAACTCCTTAAGTTATTAAGACATTTTGGTTATGAGTTTAAGGCTGGAGATTCATTTCTTTTGTTTCTTTTAAGATTACGGTTTAAGTTTTGTCCACGTGTTTAGGGCTTCGTTTTGAGATATTAAGATATTTGAGATTGGTATTAATTTTTAAAGTAGTGTTATTTGAAGTTTTTAAACATACCCCGGGGTAGAAATGTCTTTTTTCCAAGATCAAAGTAGTAGGCTATTTCATTTTGGTATCAGAGCCGGTCTTCCTCTGCTTCTTGGTTTCCAAGAAATACTGGAATATCAGTCTCAGTTTTTGAAGGTTTTGTTTTTAAAGATTTCAAGTCAAAGTTTGGTCAAACAAGTCAAGGACTTCTTTTAAGAATTTAAAATCTCCAGTATACTCTAAACCATATTAAGGAAGAAATAAATGAGTTCTAACGAGACCCTATGCATCTACAGTGCAAGTGTTGGCCCGAATCCCACACCACCTGTGCCACCTCCTGTGAAACCTCCACCTGACTATGTAGCTTTCCTGAAGAGAAAGGTGGCAGATTTTATGGGGGAGCGCTCAACCAACCCCATGGAAGTAGATCAGTGGCTAGCCAAGGTCACTCGTACTTTGGTCAAGATGAGGGCTGATGACGAGGACAGAGTACTGTTGATAGTGTCCTTGCTGTAGAACGCTGCATACAACTGGTGGACTACCCAGCCAGCTAGTCGAGAGGATCCACCGACCATCACTTGGCCAGAGTTCGTGCAGCTATTCAAAGACCACTTCATAGCGGAGGCCTACCGGGGAAGCAGGGGGAATTTTTGTTAATCAGGCAGAATTGGAGCAGTGAAGGCAAGGAAAGCATGACTGATTACACGGCCAAGTTTGACAAGCTACTTACCTATAGAGGGCCTTCATTTCATGATGTAGCAGCTCAATGAACCCATTACCAAGAGATTCGGAAGCCTGCTTTTAGGCGCCATCTGAGTGTACTGAATTGGAACAACAGGGAAGAGATCTATCAGGCAGCTCTTCGGTTGGAGAGGGTGGATATAGCTCTGCATGAGGAGGGGATGCAACGAGAAGGGAACAAGAGAAAGGCTGCTAGCTTGTCTGAGGGGCCAGGACAGCCGAGTCAGCAGAGAAAGAGACCATCCCAGAGCTACTATGGGGCCACCCTGAGTCAGGCCGGCTCAACCAGATCAGGGCCGACCTACATTCCTTGGGACCCAAGCAACCAGTGTGTGAGAACTCACCCGGGAGAGTGTAAGGTGCACCTGGGAGGCATCTGCTATTAATGCAACGAGTCGGGCCACTATGCCAGAGATTTCCCTAGGAGAGGAGGGAAATGGAGAGCCCAATCCAAACAATTAGTCAAGGGAAGAGGAGGAAGAACTCAGACCGGAGAGTAGTTTGGCAACCAGCCAAACCGGTCCTATCACCATCAGGAAGGCAATGTAGGGCAGTTCAACCGCAATGAGCGAGATCGAGGGAAAGGATCTCAAGCATCTGGGAAACCAAGATTGTTTTCCATGAAGAGAGAATAAGCTGACGTTGCACCTGATGTGGTGACTAGTATGATCTCACTTTACCACCAACCAGCTTTTGTATTGTTTGATTCCGGTTCCACACACTCTTTCATTTCCACCAAGCTTGCTAGAACCTTAGAAATTCCAGTTGTGAGGTTGGGGAAGAATTTAGGGTTAAGAACCTGATAAGCCGTTAATTGCACATGTTTTTACCCCTATTCTGGAGCCGTTTGAGATGGTAATTCTCGTGTTTTAGGCCGATTTCACGCTAGGTTTTGTTTGTTTGTGATCTTTCAGGTCCTAGCAAGTGAATGAAGGTTTAGGAGCGAGTTCGGGGTCGATTGGACTAAGATCGGGGCGAGGCAAGTCAAAAAGGAGGCCACACGGGCACACCCACAACTCACACGGCCGTGCAAGTGACCACTTTGGCCGTGTGAGATTGTGCGAGCCTTCACACGGCCAGCCCTGATATTCACACGGCCGTGTGAAGTTGCACTTTGGCCGTGTGAGACTGTGCGAGGCTTCACACGGCCAGGCTAGGTGAGCTACACGGCCGTGTGACCCTGGCCGTGTGGGAAGCCTGAAACTCAATTTTTTGGAACGCGGCGTTTTGACCTCACACGGGCAACTGGGTATGTCACACGGCCGTGTGGCCGTGCCCGTGTGAGTCAGGAATTTCTGGGTTTTTACCCAATTTCGAGCTGCAAGTGGGAGAATCGAGTTTTGAGAGCAAAAACAGAACCCTAGAGAGAGAGAGAGCGACTTGGGAACATTCTTGGAGCTATTTTGGAGGATTTCTTCACCATTGGAGCTCGGGAATCAAGCTTGGAGATGGAGATTGAAGATCTAGATCAGATTTCTGCAGTCTCTCTCTTCTTTATGGAGTAACTTCCCTTCACTTAGGTTTTGAGGAGCCCTAGCTCCATGTGTTAGGATCTTTCTTGTATGAAGTTTTGGATGTTATATTGTTTGATTATAATCGATTGAGGCATGATTTATTGAGTCAATTGAATCTTGATCAAATTCTCTTGATTTCTGCTTTAACCTATGATAGATAGAATCTTATTAGGTTAAGAGAGCTTCCTTGATTGATAGTGGTGAATTGGTTGTGCGAGAGTCAATCAATTCACTGCTTTGTACTGGAATTCATTCCAGTAGTGGAGATCTGTGTGAATCGCCTTAGTAGTCTATCCCGGTGAAGGCTAGTCGCCTGTCGGGTATTCTGTCTGAGAGGGCTTTGTCAGCTTAAGAGATTCCAAGCTAATTTAGGATCTTTCGCAGTTTAATCAACAGTAGATCAACCAAAGGTAATTGCAACTTGGACCTAATTGAGGATCTAGGGGGAATCCAGTGAGTTCCCAACTTGTAATTAGTAGAGTAGTCAGTAGAGTAGCTTATAAATCAATCCTTAATCTAGTTTGCTAGATAATGAACTGAAGCTGAGTAATAGTAACTCTAGAGACCCGTGGATTCGATATTTATTACTTGTGCCACTATACTGCAGTCCCTTTCATTGGTTACACTTGGCCATTGTTAGGTGTTGTGTTTTAGCGTGTCAAGTTTTTGGCGCCGTTGCCGGGGAACCCTCTAGGTTATTGGGGAAACGTGCAACTCTGTTACTCTAGCTTTTTCTTTACTGCATTTTATCTTTTCCACCTATGTGCCTTCACGGGTTGCTTCTGCTGATTGTGTGCAGGTAGTGCATGACCCGTAGCCAGTCGGGAGATCTACTAACACTAGACCAGGAGCTTGAACGAACCTGCAGAAACTTCAAGCGGGCTCTAAAGGCGCGACTGGCTGCGGAGGAGGCGCTAACACAGCTGCAGATCGCTGACGAAGAG